GCTTAACGCCCATTCCCTCCTCCCCCAGCCTCTGGCACCCACCATTGCATCTTCTATCTCTGAATTTGATTGTTCCAGGGACCTCATATAACTGGAATCAAGCCATATCTGTTTTTTATGGCGTCTGGCCTGTTCATTGATGTCACTCAGCTCAATGTCTGATACGACATGTCCACCCGTGGCATATCAGATGTCAGAATTTACTTTTTAAGACTGAGTACTAATCCTCTGTATATTTTTTGTCTATTCATCTGCTAATGACGTTTGGGTCGCTTCAGCTTCCGGCTGCTGTGAATGGTGCCGCTGTGGATGTTGGTGCACACACACCGTTTAAGTCTCCACTTGCAGTTCTGTGTGTGTGTGTGTCCGTAAGTGCGATTACTAGGTCATGTGGTAATTCTGTGTTTAATATTTTGAGAAACTGCCAAACTTTTCCAGAGCACGGCACCATTTTACGTTCTCACCAGTAATGCACAAAGGTTCCAGTTTCTCCACATTCTCACCAACATTCGTTTTCTTGGTAATAAGTAGCCTTTTTTTTTTTTATTTAGATAATAGTTATCCTAATGCATGTGAGATAGTTTCTTATTATGATTTTGATTTCGATTTCCCTAACATAGCGATGTTCAGCAGTACTTTTTTGTGCTTATTGGCCACTTGTATATCTTTGGAGAAATATCTATTCGAGTCTTTTGTCCATTTTTGAATTTTGTTGTTCAAATTGTAGGAATTATTTATATACTCTGGGTATTAAACCCTTACCACATTTGTGATTCACAAACATTTTCTCTCCTTCTGTGGGTTGCCTTTTTACTTCCTTGGAAATTCCCTTGAAGAATGTTGAGTTGCCGAGGATTTCAGCTGAGGGCTTCTGGACCTGTCATAGCTCAGGTTACTGAGCCTGTGCCTGGCGACTGACCTGTGCTAAAGCTTCACACGTCTTATGCCATTTATTCTTCACCGCAGTTATGGAAATGTCGCCTTTCGGAGGAGAGTAAAGCATTAGAGAGTCAAATAGAACTGCGGTGTCAGGCCACCTGGCTCCCAGCACCGTGACCGTGGGCGAGTGATTTAACCGCCCTGAGCCTCGCGGCCTGGCCTGCAGATTCCGTGAGAGCTCACGTAAGACACTGGGCCACACATCATAAGCCCGTAAAAAAAAAAAAAATGCCAACTGTTCCTACGATCACCATTTTACAGATGGGAACAGTGAGGCCTAAAAAAGTGAAGTAACTCGAGTGATCGCAGTGAGAGTCAGGGCCGGGTCTCGAACCCATGTCTACCTAAATCAAAAGCGTTTAACTGTCATTCGATAATTCTCTAACTTAGGTGGGCCTTTTGCGATAAAGGTGGAATTAAAATACGTGACCATACGTATATGTTGTAGATGTTTTCTGCTGGAAAAAAAAAAAGGATGGTAACTCGACCAGCAGAGGCAGCAATCGTAGGATTTATGTTTTGTATGTAACCCGCGTAGCTCATTTTTTTCAAATGAAGACATTTGGGTCTTCGTTGGAGAGCCTAGGTTAGAACCTGCCATTACTATGTGACCCGACTCACATTAGCCTGAAAAGCTAGGGACGTGCTCCGTGGCCACTTGAGGTCTGTGAGCATGAGGCCGGTTCTGGGAGGAAGAGCCATTGGTACCACATTTCAAATAACGCTCCGCCCAGTCCAACAAGAAGCAAGTGTTTAACTTGAACTTCTTTGCCTTTTCCCACCTGCTTTTGCATTCACTGTATTTTGAAGAAAGGAAAGCCCCTTGACCTCAGTAAAGCCACTCCTGTGATGCTGCAAGGTGTCACTGTAATGACTAAAAAGCGAGTGACACTGGGGCTTCAATGCCAAAGTGTGTGCGTGCATACACACACACACACAGACACACACAGACACACACACACACACACACACACACACACACACACACACACCGCCCCCTCACAGCAGGAGCATGGCCCCAGAGCGGCATTTTCATCCTGCAAAGGGATGTTGTTTCTGGTTTTGGTACCTACTCCCAGCTTTTCCTGGTGGGGACAGAGGTAAAAGTTCTTTAGGAAGTAATTTTGATGAGCTGCTTATTAGTGCTCCCTGTCGCTTGTTGGCCTGTTTGTTTTGAACATTGCCTTTTCTTTGTCATCAGTCATCTCCATTTTCCTGTCAGTGTGATGGAGACTTGACTAGATTCCAGGGATGTCACATAGATGTGATATGGCAAGAAAGGGTTCGTGGTGGCCTAAGTTTAGCCAATCATGGGTTAAAGAAAACCAGAGGGTGCTTTGCAGGACTGCTCGGGTGGGTCCTTTACTGTGCTAACGTGCCCATTCGAACAGTGTCCATTCGAACCCAATCTTCAGGCAAAGCTCAGATCCTTCTGGACATTTCTCTACTGGGTCTTCAACTCTCCATGTACCAACAGTGTCACTGACTGGGAAACTGATCAGAGAGGGCTGCATTTCCCAAGCCTGCTGGACCACAGACACCTCCACAGTAGATCTCGCAGTGCCAGCCCTCTGGGCAGCACGCGAAGACATGCCCTTTCACGGGTGTCTGGGCATTTGGTGAACCACATCTCTGGTGGTGCCCAGAGACCCAGCTGGACTGGTCTGCTGGCCAGCAGGCCAAGGTCACATGTGAAGATGACCAGCTGTCCCTGTGGGCGATGGACTGGAAGGGAACCCTAAGGTTTTCTACTCACTGGGTCGCTTTGGCTCCCCATTCGTGATGGGGGAATCTAGGTCCTGTGGTCTTGGCCTGCAACTAGTAGTCACAAAACTCTTACTGAAATGTTTGTTTTACGTCAAAATGGGTTTTGCATGCATGTCTTCACTGTCCCAGAGCAGGACACAATTCATGAAGTTTGCCT